TACATAGGCAAATTCCTGATCCAGTATCAAGTATTACATGAAATCTTATCATACAATAGTCAGGTAAATTGAGAGTTATCTCAATATATGGGTTCAAAATACTAGTTTTGATTGATTTAATTCCTTGTATCATATAAATTAATTCTTTGTTTTTATTAACTCTAGGCAACATTTTTTATTTACCTTCAACAGTTATTTGCAGTATATTTTTCTGAATAACAAATGGTGATACCTTTTCAAGAAAGTTCATTCCAAGTAGTATTGGGCTAGTATTTTTTCCTTTTCTATAATCTTTATGAATTTTAAGGTTTAGCTTAAATTGTTCTCCTACTATGTCAGTAAAACTTAGTTCAAGATTAACAAATGTTTTAATTTCATATTTAATTTCATGATAATCTGTAAGAGTTATTCCTTGTGGTAAATTTTCTTCTACTAAATGATCGACTAAGTCTGCTCTTATATGGCTAGTACAAGCTTCTGTATTAACAAGGGCTATGATTTCTTCGTAGTTATTTTGATTATTGAAATATTCTTTTAATATAAGGAAATTAACTTCCTCACTTTTTCTTAAATCAATATCAATACCATTTCTAGATATAGTTGTGTAATTTCTACTTGTAGATGGTCTACTAGAACTTGAGAGTTCTCTAGTACTGATACTTCTTTCTATTCTTCTGGTAGGCATTCTAACTACAACTTGTCCAAAAGTATTCAAGGTTGCTAATCCTTGATTACCTACATTATTGTCTATTCTTCTAGATTGTTGATGAAAATCTAGTAATATCTATTGGGGTAGCGAAATGTTATAATCAATTAACATTCTTGGTGATGTAAATTGAGCTAGGTTTTTAAAATCTTCATGAATTTCTATGAATTCTCCTGAACTTTTATTGATTTCTTTTTGGTGTGTAGTAGTAAAAGCATATAAAGTTTTACAATGTAAAGTTACAGTTTTACTTCTAGGTGGCATATTTAATCTATCAATTTTGTGATATAGATTTAATCCTAAACTTAAGTTTTAATCTAATATAGACATGGCAAATCCAGGTCTTATAGTAAAAATATTTTTCTTATATACAAGATTTACGGAGACAACTCCTAATAGAGCGTCCATAGGATCATGAAGTATCTTGTTATCAATTAAATATATTTGTATAGGAATATCAATTCCCTCTCTAAAGTATCCTTTAACCATAATTTGGATTCCTCCAATCACTATATTTTTTTTAATCTTTCTCTAGTGGATCTTTTAATATTTGCTAATTCTCTATTGACCCATTCTCTAGTAATTAAAGGTATAGTAGTATTACCCTTAACATTTTCTATGTTAATAGGTACTTCGTCATATTTGGCAATGTATATAGTTTTGTTAAACCAAAGTAGAATTAGTCTATATTTGTTTTTCTATTATATCTCCATATCTTTCTTCATCAAACATAACAGTTTGTGAAGTTCATTCTTCACTATCTAAAGTCGTTTCAACTGTATCAATAATTTCTTGATTCATATATATTTGTTCGTATTCAAGTTCCTCAATTTCTTTAATATCTAGCTCATAAATTGAGTCAGTTTCAGATAATTCGTCTATATTCAAGTATCTCATATTCTGAATCGTATTCAATTTCTTCCATTAATTTAATAGATTTAACATTTTCTCTTTTATTTTTATTAGGACAGTTGGGAGAGATATGTCCTAATTCATTACAGGTAAAACATTTACATTTTTTTTTATAAAATTCTTCCTTATATTTCTTCTTAGGCTTCTTATATTAGTTATATTCCCTATTCCAAGGTTTTTTCTTCTTAAAATATTTTTCGTGGTTTTTAAATCCTTTGTTTTTCTTCCAAGGTTTTAGATATTTCTTAAATTTCTTTCTATAATATGGATTTTTAGATGGTTTGTGACAGCCAAATTATGGTACAGATGTTATTTCTCCATAACAACATAAACTAGCCTTTTTACCATGTTTTCTAAATAGGTGTTGGTACATAGATTTTTTGCACCATTTGACTATTTTTCTTTTAGTGAATGAAGTTCTCATTCCTAAAGTATCAGCTTTGTGGTTAGGGTCTTCCCATTCTATTTTACTCCAATAAATTTGATAATTTTCAAATAACTTCTGACCCCATGGCAAAGGTAATTTAAGAAAATATCTATTTAATAATTTTTCATCTTCTTTTGATAGATTCCATTCTTTTATAGATTTAGATGCTTTGATATATATTTTTTCAAATTTTTTAGTATATTCGTTTAATTCACACATATCACAAACTTTTAATAGTTCCATTTCTCTTTCTTCTTGTAAAGTTTCTTGAGTAATCTTATCAATTTTAGTTTTTGGTATAACTTCTCATAATAATAGGTGTCTAAAGAAATTTTCAATTCGTTTTAACACTTCTTTAAAATTTTCAGCTTCTAAACTTTCATTGCTATCTATAGTAGTTGTAGATTTTTCGCCATATTTAATTTTATTTTTTGTTTCTTCAGAAGTTCTTCTCTAAATATCTGAATTAATTCCTCTAAAGGTGTGGATAATAAAGTTATAGGCTTGAGTTGTATTCCATTTATTAAAAGCAACAGCTAAATCAGTAGCTTTTGCCCAAGAGTCAATAATTTCACTTTTATTATTACTATCATCAATATCTAACCATATTCCTGTAGTAGGAATTTGTTCAGTAAATAATCTTACTGGATTATTGTCCCTAAGATGTATATGCTTAATTGATATAGTTTTTGATTCTTTCATCCATTCAAAATTTCAGTCATCAGATTCAATTTGAGTCCAATCTGTATCAATATTAGTTCTACTATTTTCTCCAATTAACGGTTGATTTTCAACATGTTGATTTAAAGGTGGAGTATTTATTTTAGTAGTTTCTTCTTTAAGTGGAGGATCATTCATATATATATTTTCAGTTTGTATGGCTAATTGTTCCAAGCTTTGTTTATAAGCTTCTAATTCTTCTCCAGTAGCTTCAAAGAATTTTGTTTCTTATTCTTCTATAACATAGGCCGGTACGGTGGTTCAATAGAGACATAAGAATCTTTTTTAAGTTTTAATTCTTTAAATTTTGATTCTATCTGTTTATATAAGATTGTTGGTCCTACCTTAATATTGCTATTAACAATTTCTACTATCTATAGTAGTTGTAGATTTTTCGCCATATTTAATTTTATTTTTTGTTTCTTCAGAAGTTCTTCTCTAAATATCTGAATTAATTCCTCTAAAGGTGTGGATAATAAAGTTATAGGCTTGAGTTGTATTCCATTTATTAAAAGCAACAGCTAAATCAGTAGCTTTTGCCCAAGAGTCAATAATTTCACTTTTATTATTACTATCATCAATATCTAACCATATTCCTGTAGTAGGAATTTGTTCAGTAAATAATCTTACTGGATTATTGTCCCTAAGATGTATATGCTTAATTGATATAGTTTTTGATTCTTTCATCCATTCAAAATTTCAGTCATCAGATTCAATTTGAGTCCAATCTGTATCAATATTAGTTCTACTATTTTCTCCAATTAACGGTTGATTTTCAACATGTTGATTTAAAGGTGGAGTATTTATTTTAGTAGTTTCTTCTTTAAGTGGAGGATCATTCATATATATATTTTCAGTTTGTATGGCTAATTGTTCCAAGCTTTGTTTATAAGCTTCTAATTCTTCTCCAGTAGCTTCAAAGAATTTTGTTTCTTATTCTTCTATAACATAGGCCGGTACGGTGGTTCAATAGAGACATAAGAATCTTTTTTAAGTTTTAATTCTTTAAATTTTGATTCTATCTGTTTATATAAGATTGTTGGTCCTACCTTAATATTGCTATTAACAATTTCTAGATTTGATTCCATATTCTTTATACTAGTTATGACATCTTGATTATTAATATTTGGTTTTCGTAAAGGCTCAGCATAATTATCATATTGTTTTAAAAATTGATTTATAATATCTTCTTCTTCATATTTAGAAGATTCATCAACCAGAATTTGTAATACTTTATTTTTTATTTCAACTAATTGTTGAGAATTATTTATTTGTTTTATTCCTTCTCTTAATGATAAATATTCGGTACTTAAATTTGTTGCTAATTCTTGCAATTTTATTCGATTAGTATTGGTTAATATACTAATATTTTGTAATTCTTCTAAAATCATTTTATCTTTTCTATAAATCTTTAAAAATTTTCTTCAATTTCGTTACTAGGCTCTGATACCAATTTTATACAAGGCAGAAAAAGATAAGATTTTGAGGGCAAAAGTGAACTCTTTTAAAATTAAGATGGCTTGGTTATAAAATTTTATGTTGGGGGTATTTTAGGTAGATTTTAACCTTTGAATGGTCAAAGACCATTATGGAAAAATGGCTTTCTTAAATGGATCAATTCCTTGCATTTCCCTCTCTATGGTACATGCATGTGTTGAGCATACCTCTTTCCGTCCATTGCTTTCTTCTTGATTTTTATATGTTTGGAAGTCAAATAAGCAAAATATGCCCTTTCAATCTTATTGCCAATCTATCCACTGATAGATGAGCTAAAGGAAAGCCTTGAAAGCAAGCTACTTTAAGAACGTTGTGAATGTTATAATTGAATTTCTCGAGTTCAGCCTAAGATGATTGTAGATAGAACTTGGCCTAGTTTCGAACTTACATGAGAACCAATTTGACGAAAAAAATATTTTTTTAGAAAAATAATGCCCTGTTTGGACTCCATTTAAATTTTAATGCATTTTTTTTTCAATAACACATTTTTCAATAAAATAATATTGCAAGTAAACGGTAAACTCAAAATTTTTCTTTCTTTTTTAACCACACATCGCCAGTCCAAGATATATATATTCCCTAAAATATAATTTTAATGGAGCCCAAACATGGACAATATATGTACAATTTCCCCAGAAAAAAAAAATTGAGTTTATTTAACTGTTTGTCGTAATTTTTGTAATTTCAAGATTTGTGAGAGGCTTAATTTATCTTTGAAATTACCTTAAAATAATCAAATTCTCGATAACCATCTTATTTTTGGCTTTTGAATAAATTCTTGATAATCATCTAGGTTGACACAAAAATGTACATGGAATCAAACATCATGTTTTTGTCATTTGTGCCAACAACATGTTCTCAACTCGGAATACTCGAATGGTAACACTTTCTTCACAAATGGCATGTCTATTGACGTGTGTATGAATCAAGACATGAAGATCTATGAAAAGTTTATAATCAGTTGTAAGGAAAATTACACAGCTCGACTCATCAGCAGCAACGACAAGATAAAATGTCCAAGCATGTATAGGGTCTCAACTTATCTTCGAGTTCTTGAGCAGACGGCATTGGTTCCATCGGCAGAATGCTGTTTTGGGCACAACAGAAGACGTACAAATTTCTGCATAGTCCTTTGCTGAATGGATAAACTCTCTGAGGAACTCCCCTGCAAATCAATACAAATTTCAACTGAAATTAGGAAAGAAGCCAACAATTTCTGGTAGCGCAAATCTTAAATCCTCTCTGAGATTATATTTGAAGCTCTCAAGCCATTTTGACCAATTTGCTTAAGTTCACCATGTTGAGGCTCTACTGCACAGCTCAAATCTGAAATCATCTTTCGTTTTGCTTATAATAAAACCTTAATATAAGAATTTAATCAGTACAACGTTTATTTCCGCCTGTATGGTTTCTGTCGAATGAATTCTTAGGTAATTTGCATTATAAAGAAAGCCAAATGTTAAAGCAATGAAAGGAGATAGGGAAGCATAAAACAAAATAACTAACCTTAGATATGGAATGCGCCGCCTTTTTACAAGTTCATAGGTGGTTTGATTAGTCACAATAAGGTAGCTGTTTCACAAGAAATTTCACATTTAAGGGGTGAACATTTATGTAAAAGAGAACTAGTACGCCATTCCATCTCATTGAACACAATCCCAGACAACAAAATACAATAGTAAATGGACACCCGCATGATATTTAGTCCCAGTTTGGCTCCCATTTCTTAGAACTCATATTTTTTCCAAAACTCAATTTAACCACATATTTCTTGGGACTCACAACTTTTACCTAACTCTTCAAGTTTCAACTACACATTTCGCCTACTTTTATCAAAATCTACTAAAATTTTAATTTTTATTCAAAACAACAGGGGCTTATTGAGTGTGTGCATAGTATAAATTGACAAGAAGTGTAGTGCTGAATAAAAAGTTTATGCAGTTGAAATACTAACAACACTAGCCTATGAAAAAGGATGAGCAGTAGTAAACAGTATTTTTAAATAACATGTCCTCGGTTTAGTTAAGATAATTTCATCGTGTAAACTTACCAGAAATGAAATATTGTTAAATAAGAAGTCAATGCATGTAAATGCTTCAAAAAACTTACCAATGAAAAAGGAGCAGCAGGAGTAGAAAGATCAAACAAATTGACAAGGTACCCAAAAGCAAGATTATGATTACATCAACCCACCTGAAAAAAAAATAATAATAAAAAAAAAAAAAAATTCCAGCTCAGGTTTCAATACGATATATGTAGAACTCAATCATCAGAATCTAAGCATCATAAGCAAATATGAAGTAGAAAAATCTTTAAGGTATGAGTTGATGCATACCATGTTTTTGATATATTATACTTAAGGTAGACAATGTACAAGATGATAGTCCAAAGGCACAAGGCTGTTTCCTCAAGAATGTACCACCTGGTATATCCAAAAATTAAAAAATAATAAAAAGGTAAATAAACTAGAACAATGTTAATAATATGCATTCCAATTACAAAAACTACACTAATATGAGAAATGTATAAATAAACTAAATTTGTTGTATGAACTAAAAAGTTCCGAGCGATGCAATTTATAGAGATTTGACACCTAAACAAGTGTCTTTTTAGAAGAAGAATATGAATGATATGTTAGATTCAATAAAATATAAGATTGCGCCTAAAAATGATAGACCACAGCAAAATAACATACAAAGAAATAGTACTTCCACTTGACTTTTTTTTTTTTTTGGTCGGTGAACAGTTTTACTAATCCCCTTTTTGACCCTCATTTTGGGGGGAATATGTTTATTGAAATAATGATTTTTTTGGAGAATGCATGGTTAAAAAATAAGGGAAAATTTTGTGTTTACGTGTAAATTATTTTATGGAAGAATGTGCGGTTGAAAATGAGTTTTGGAAAAATGAGTTTTTGGAAAAATGGAGCCCAAACAAGGCAATTGTGATAAAAAAAAAAAAAATACATATATCAAGGGAACAAAGAGTCCTCTCAAAATATAAGCAAACAGAATCAGGAAGCACATTCTTCCAACCAAACACCAATAAAGATAAAGGGAAGTTCTTAAACTCATTTGATGTTGAAGCCCATAGATAAGCTAAAAACTTAGCCCTCTCCAAATTAATTGGCCAGCAGTTGTTCTTTTTCTTCAAAAACTTCACAATTCCTTTCTGTCCAAACCATCCAAAAGATAGCCAAAACTACAGCTATAGATATAACATCACCATGACAGCATACATAAAAGCATGAACTGGAACTTAAATTGACGGTTGACTGATACTGAAAGAGATGACAAAAGGCTGAGTCTGTCCAACTTATGTGATCAAGTGAAAGAATTCCAATCATTTGGACTCAAATGTTGGAGCAAACCCAAGTCACCTAATAACCTATGTCGATTTGCACTTTCAAGGAATGCAGCATATGTGCCCAATTGATGCATGGATTTTGTCAGGCTTTTTTTTACATCTAAATCCCGTTACTGCTTTGATTGCTAAATTTTTTTACGAACTGCATGGCACCACCTGTTCGAATGTAACAAATTCGTGACTAATGAAGTGTTGGAATTCAAAAAAAAAAAAAAGAATTGATCAGGTGATCATTATCCCCTAAAGAAATATCACCTAGCTACTTCATCTCCAGTGCATACATTCATTTCCAAATATTTTGTGACAACCACAAAACTAGCTTAATTTTTAGTGAATAAAAGATAAGACTGTATTTATGTAGTCGTACATATGCTCTCAACCCGATGTAAAAAAGACAAAAACTTGCTACTTTACTAGCTTCTGCTCTCTATCCATGGATCAACTACCTGCATAATGTCATACAGATAGAAAGAATCTTATAAATCTATAGTTCTAAAATTGCAGCATCTACCAACACAACATAAATGAAATTCTCTAAGTATCGTAACTTCCCTTAAAACCCACATCTATCTCTTGTTAAAATATTTATCAATTTAAGCAAACCGAATGCTTCTAGAAATTCCTCATCAAAGGAAAGACCAAAGTAGAGGTGTATCCGCATTTCTGATAATGATATGTCTATACAATTTACTTTACCCAGTTTGTTTGTGTATGCTTGATGAGCAGGATTCTCTGTTTGCTTCAATATATGCATTTACATATTAGTATTACTGCTACTATCATCATATGTCCTACACTCTTGTGCATTTTCTCTAGTAGTTTGTACCTGGTTATGTTTGTATATCTTTATGAGATGTAGAACTCAATGTATGCCCCTATAAAAGTGATGAGTGTTTATCTCTCAGAGCCTGTAAGTGTATGCACATAATGTGAATCATGATCCGTTGATCTGCATGTTATATTCCTTAAAGAAGGAAAGGAACATTGGATAGGCGGGACTGTATAATAATTAAGTAAAGAATCAAAATAAGTTGAAATCAAGGAAAAATTCAGGGGTTTGCCACTCTGAGGCCTTAGCAAGCAACTCATGGAGTTTCCGGGAATTGGGTGGACATGTTGCAACAACAATTTAACCTAGGCCATTCAATTCAAAATATGTATGTGTCCTTTCTCCATCAGCTTAGTTTTTAGAATAGGGGATTCAACATAGTATCAAAGCACGCAAAGGTCCGAGGAAAATGTGATAGCATGAAGCATACTCTACAGAAAAATCATTAATTAGATAAGAAACAGAATGTGTACTCACCAAAACCGGCAATGGTTTCTCTGTCCTATGCATGTCCCAAGCCAAACGCAGTGATGATCAAATTGAAGAACACATTTCTCACAATCATGACAATGCTTTGCTCGTGGGGGCTACAAAAGTAATGCATGCAAGCTGGGATCAGAAACCATAAACTTCGGAACGTAGTTGCAGTAGATAGAAAGAATGCATAATAGAACAACAAGAAGTCTATAAAAGAACCAATTTGTCAAACAATAAATAAGAGCAGAAAGAAAGAAAAAGAAGTTTAACATTTCTAATCTACGGCTCTTGCAAATGATGGTTGGTTGTCCATCATCGTCAATGCAGGTTACCACGAAACATCTTTTTCTAGTGTACTTTTTTTAATCAACACTAAAAATCTTGGCCTAATTTCCTTTGCTTCCTAAGGATGCAGTGATTTGAGAGCAAGCAGTTGCGCACACAGTTCTCAATTTCGCTCTGTCCTGTTTTTCTTATCGAAAGTCGCTGCAAGCAGAGGCTCAATGCTTACGCCATTATCAATTTGGAAAGCCAAATTACATTTATTCTTCTTTCTCTGCTCATTAGGTACATTACCAAACTCAAGCACTATCATGCAAAGTATACTAAGTTGAGGGATCAATAAGTCAAGTCTTACATATCAATGTGAGGTTGCCATCCAGCACAATAAATATCCAAGCCAAAACGCCTCATTTTAACCCCTCATATTGTTTATTTGATTTCTCAACAAGGTGAAAAGGTGAAATATGACCGACAAAAAATATCCCCTCCACCCTGGCAATATCTCCACCACCAAGTATGATCACTGTCCATGCCCTGACAGCATCCCCTCTCCTAGCCCCATGTGCACCCTATGTATTCCCAATGCCATCTAACCTGCCTTCCATGACTACAAAAGTCAGTCATTGCCACCACCACCACCTCATCATATATATAAACACTTCCTGTGTATTATCCATATTAATAAAATATTTGATTACCTTTCAAAATAAATAAATAAATAAATAAGGACCCAAAACTTAAAGCATAACATATTACAAACACTTAAAATACACAAAGCCATAATAACGCATACTTACAGCTAACAACGCATAACGCATAAGGCATATACAAATTATATGTACAATCTCACAAAACTAAAATTCATCACAGGGAACCAATCAGAGAAACTGCCACTGTCAAAATATCAATCTGGCAACCATAAAGTCATGGAAAAATGCAGAACCATATGGAGTATATAATGGGGTTTCTCACAATTTACCATGAATTTTACGTGTTATTTTCATGAGTGTGATAGTGTGGAGCAGATGGAGCTCATTTTTTCGAGGGGTTGGTTTAGTCCAACATTGATGGTTACGGAAATGTGCTGCAATGTATGTGGTTGGGAAAGGCGGCATTTCGGCAACAGGAACCAAGCGAATGATATGACGAGATTTGGATATTCTTTCCCTTTCCTGTGGTTTTACTATTTATTTTTATCCATTCAAGCTCTAATAAGTACAATTCACACATTTTAAGTTCGATATTTAGCAATTCTTGTGTGTTATCTGCTTGGAAAACAGCTAGACTACTTTCCAATTAAAATCACTCTAGCTCATGTGAAAATGCAGTAAATTGACAGGTTGACGTTCATTTTTCAATTTTAGTTTACAACTGTAGGATTTGGCTGCATAGCTGTTGAATATTTTCTAATGGTTTATATGAGGAAATCAACGAGAACTAATTCAATTCTCATCGTGATATCAGAGCACCGTCAAGGTTCTTGGTGTGCTTCTCTCTCATTCATTATTCTTTCTTCTGCGGATCAGGCAATACGATCAACTGTGAGAAGAGTGAGAAAACAGTGAAATTGTCTATTTTGCCTTTAGATCAATGCTCAAAAACTGAATGGCCAAAAATTTCTACAATCGCTACCGAAAAGAAATAGTAAATTAAGAGTATAACGCTAAACAAAACATAATTTCAAAATGCTAGTACAAGAAGGATTTGGGAAAAAAAAATAAAAAATCAAACTGATGCTCGTGAAACAAAACATAATTTCAAGTCCAAGAAGGATTTGGGGAAAAAAACACTGTTGCTCGTGAATAAATATGGACTCAAAAAAGATAAATATGATAACAAATATAAGATTACATGAATAATTTCATGTAGTTTCACCAAATGTAAAATAAAGATGATAAAAGCATAAGAAGATCAAACCTGCAAAATGTTGCAGTAAGTGCATGTCCAATTTCTGGAAAACAAAACATGAATGAAGATAATTAGTGAATGACAAATTTGTGGCTTTCGATAAACAAATGGAGCGTCTGTTTGCCTACATTGACGATACAGTTTCGATTCAGAAAAGAGGTTCTACGACAAAATTATTTTCTATCCCAAACTTCTAGATCTTGGTCTATTCCAATTAATTTTCCAACATGATACGTGTTTTAGTTAAGTGTTCTATCTGTAGGTCAAGAAAGGCCTTTAGTGATCTTTTAAGTGTGTATTTATGGATTATTAACTTATTAGCATGAATTAGCATATCTAACAATATTAGAAGATTCAGAAAGGACTCGTGTTTCTTATAAAAAATCATTCTTTTCTTTAAACTCTCAAATAAAATTAACAGTTCTTTTCTGCGACTAATTGCAATTCTTACAATTGCCTTTGTGCATGAAGTTGAATTAAATTCACTTCAAGCTTCTCGTGACTAATTCTTCATGATCTATGGTTTGAGCACAGATCACCAATGAATTCAACTTAACAAATATGAACCATTATAATCAATAATGATTTTAAATCCTCATCGTAATATCTAGTACTACACCTATTGTCAATATCAATAAAATATGCTACAAGGAGCCTGAAGGGTGTCTAGTTTAAATAAAAAGCAACGTTTATAAACCTTTTCAGGCTTAGCTTCGACTCCCGCCTCACATGAAGCTTTAATTAACCACCTCAAAGCTTATGCTTTATATGCCATTTGTGAGGCTTACACCTCAAGTCTAAGCCTCGTGGCATTTTACGCGTTTGTCCATTTGTCTCGCCTATTTTGCACATTTTATTATTAGCTTTTATGATTTTGGGCTATTTATGTATAACCTATATACAGGTTTTATTAATTTCTATTCTTCTCCATGACACAAAAGGTTAAGTGAAGGGAAAAAACCTCTTTGTAAGTGGAGGATGATGAACAAAAATGATAAGAAACTAATAGTGACGAGGAATAATAAGGAAATCAAATATGTTGACAGTTGCCTAAAAGATCCTAATAGTAGTGATGATATATGAGAGTTCCCAGTTTTTTCTATTTAATCATGATTTTGTTACGTGATTACTTATTTGTAGCTTATTATTTGCTATTTTATTAGTCAATCGGGATATAAGAGTACATTAATTTGCTAGTTAGACTTTTATAAACTTTTTGTCAACAATCAAATCACTCTTTATCTAAATATTTCGTGGGATCTACAAGTACCACCCATTTGTACACCGCTCAATTTTAACTAATTATAAATTGAACTGTTTACAAACACTTCTCAAACAGGATTTTAATTTTGTTAAATTATTTTATTATAAATTTTTTTTTTAAGATGGTATATGGTTTATTATGAGTATATTTTGTAGTGTTTTCTATTATTATGATTTATTTAGGCCCCATTTGGGAGCTATTTTGAAAATTGATTTTTTGACCGTTAAGAGAAAAGTGGAGGTCATCTGTGAGAGAAGAAGTCAAACTTTATGGATGGAATAGTGAAACAAAGGTCAAAAAAATCAATTTCTTGGGGTGAAAAATCACCCCAAACAGCCCCTTATTGATTATCTTGAAACTCATGCCTTGCCTCAGGGACGTTTTACATCTAGTACTCAATATAGCCTTTTTGTCAATATCAGTTCATCTCGTGGTCCCACATGGTAAATTTGAAATTCTTCCCACATAGAATACATCAAGAAAAAGGGGGGGGGGGGGGGGCGTTTT